GAAGAGAAGAGAAGAGAAGAGAAGAGAAGAGAAGAGAAGAGAAGAGAGAATGGAGTAGAGTAGAGTAGAGTAGAGTAGAGTAGAGAGAATGGAGTAGAGTAGAGTAGAGAAGAGAAGAGAAGAGAAGAGAAGGGAACGAAAGGAAAGAGGAAAGGAAAAGGATGGAAGAAAGGAAAGGAAAGGGGAAGGAAAAGGGAAGGAAGAAAGGAAAGGAAAGGGAAAGGAAAGGAAGGGAAGGGAGGGAAGGAAAGGAAAACTTCAGCTCAAAAGGAAAAAAAGGAGGCCCACCTGACGTAGAGTGAGATGGGAACTACGGTATTGAGGATGATGATGTAAGACCAGAAGGCCAGGAACCCCGACAAGAAGGCATTGTCCACCACTTTGTCCCACGGCAAATAAATCTGGAAGCAGACGCCCACTTCGTATTCCCAAATGGAGTTGCCGATGGCCAGGATCACCCCCATGCAGACCAGGAACCCGAAAATCTGCCGGTGGGAAATCACAGTTCGGTTTGGACAAAGGAGAAAGGGGGGAAGCAAGGCGGTCTTCCTCTTTGTCCATTCTATCTCCTGTCCCCATTTTTTTATCGCGATGTGGTCAATTCCCACATTTGAGGAGGTCAATTTCAACAGCTGAGTTTGGACAAAGGAGCAGAAAGGAAGAAGCCGCCAGATGCCGTCTCCTCTTTATCCCTACCTACATGAAGTTCCCTTCTATTTTTCTGGCTCTTTTCATTCCCAGGTGGTCAATTCCACATTTCAGGATATCAATTTCAACACTTCCCCTTTGAATAAAAGGAGCAGAAAGGGAGAAGCTGCATGGCATCCCTCTTTGTCCCCACCTACACGAATTCCCTTTTATCCCTTTCATCATGTCCCTTGTCATCCACATGTGGTCAATTCCACATGTCAAGCGGCCAATTTCAAGAGATTCCGGATTACAACTTCAAGTCCACTCAGGCATTGCCGTTGGGCAGCTTTGAGTCATCCAGAATGGTGGTGAAGGACAGAGAGCCAATTTCCCCGGATTGAGATGGAAGGAAATTAATGAAGTCCACTAAAAAATCCACTTTCCTACATTCTCCGGACGACCACCCTGCAGAGCGGGACAAGGACTTGACTGCCCCCTGGTGGAGCATTCCCAGAAAATTCTCTGCCTCTAGTTTCTCATCCTGGAAACTAAAAGAGCACCCAGTGTCTACCCCATGCCTGAGAGCTGGGAGTACTGGATTCGAAACATGGGCACGGAATGGGAGGGGCTCACGTACCCAAAGCACCAAAGTATTCATCAAACGGTCAATGCTGGTCCTCTTGAATTTCGTGCGGCCGCTGTTTTGCATTAATTTGGTATCCGGCCCTGCCGAAGGAGAGAACCAAGAAGTAATTTTTGCCTCTCCCGATTCTGAATTTATTTATTTTTATTTAGTTATTTCTTGAATTTATCGGACGCCCATCTGGTAATGAAACGAATCTGGGCGGAGGGTCAAATTAATTTTAAAAGGTTTTTCCCAAAAAACCAGCACTGCGAATAAGCCATAGATAGACTAACAGAGTTGGAAGGGACCTTGTAGGTCATCTAATCCAACCTGCCTATAAATGATCAAGAGTAAAAACAACACAAACCACACCGAAGCAATTAAGGGAACCAGGCAAGATTATCTGCCCCCCAAAGCTTTGTGTCTTCTGCCTTGTCTCACCTCCCAGCTTGGAAGACACACCTGGCACCCCCGCCCTCCAATACCTGCGAAGATGACCAGGCCGAAGCACCACTCTGTATTACGAAGGACGCAACCTCGCAACAACATGTTTTGGTTGCTCAGGGAGTATTTGTTGTCTTTCCAGTACAGCGTCCCGCCGAATTTGTCGAGTTTATTGTTAGGGGGCTCGCAAATCACCTCTCCTGAAATTTAAAACAAAACAAAAATCGACAAAGAGGTCAGTTACAGCTAGTCCTCGTTTAATGAGGGTCATTGAGGCCAGGATTTCCGTCACTAAGGTGTGCGGCGGTGAAACGATGACGTCCTGTGGCTGCACTCTTTAATGATGGCAGTTGCGGCATTGTTAAGTGAGGACTGCATTGGCCATGGAGGGAGAATTTCGACTTCCCGCAGGCTTGTCCACTGAATTTGAAAGTCACAAAGCACAGTCACAGCAGGATGTACACTGAGAGCATTTGCACCGAGACAAATTCCCTGCGTGTCCAACCACACTTGGCCAACAAAAGAATTCTAAATCTTCTAAAAAAATCAAAATAATACGCCATCTTAAAAATGAATTTTACCATCAAAATGCGCTAGGTTGTTGGTGTCGGTTAGCTCGGATGTCACTGGGATAGCTTGTCGGACTTTCATATTGGTCTCCCTGTGGAGAAAAAGTAGTTTAATCATGGCCAGGAAGGTAGAAGGTGGTCTCTCAGGTACTGTTGGTCTTTAAGGTACTGTTTCTCTTAACGTGAAAACTTTTAAGAACTCTGGACTTCCACAATTCTCCGCTTTCTCTGAAAATTGGCGTCTTTAAAGTCCTGCGAACTTCAACTCCCAGAATTCCCCAGTGGTTGAGGAAGCTGAAATCCTCAAGTCTTAAAAGTCACAAAGGTTCAGAAACTGGGGGATTCTGGGAGTTGAAGTGCACAGGTCTTATAACTGCCAAGTTTAAAAAAACAAACACCTGGGGGATTCTGGGAGTTGAAGTCTCCATGTCTTAACATTGCCAAGTTTCAGAAACTGGGGGATTCTGGGAGTTGAAGTCCACAGGTCTTATAACTGCCAAGTTTTTTAAAAAACTGGGGGATTCTGGGAGTTGAAGTCTCCATGTCTTAACATCGCCAAGTTTCAGAAACTGGGGGATTCTGGGAGTTGAAGTCCACATAACTGAAAGTCGCCAAGTTGCAGAAATATTGTTTTAAAAGAGCAGCCAGAGCTAGCCTAACACTCACCCATCCAGCTCGGCCGTCTCGATATAACAAAGTCCGTGAGGTTCGCTGCTGGACAACAGAAGCAGATCAGCCTGGATTTGGGCAAGGAGAAAATGTTCTTTTTAAAAAAAAATCAAATCTTGATTTTGGTCATTGACTATAGCAGAACGATAAACTTGCAACCCAACCTTAGATCAAAACGTAGCCAGAAACGCCGGGCTTAAACGTAAGTTTGAAGCAGATAGGACGACATCAACTGTTGTTTATTTTCACTTAAGATCATTCTTAAAACTAGAATTATTGAGGTTCCTATTAAGGGTCACCCCCCTCCTTCCGATTAAATCTGGATTTCTGAATTGATCAGGGTTAGACCAAAGATGTCTAAGCCGAGGGGGAAAAAACTTAAAATCTAAAACTTTCAGCTTTTAAGGACTTGGAGAGACGATTAGCAAATGGCATGGTCTACAGGGGAGGAAAGGGCCTTGATCCCTTCATGGGCTGCAGCTGTGACAACTGAATAAGAGTTTAGACCTGCGTACTGGCAAATGCTGGAAACAAAGCGTGTTTTATTTTGGTCTGAAGTTATCTTGGTTGGCAGTCCTTCCAACAGAGACTGTGCCTTGTTATCGCCTTAAATTTGGTAAATATTTCCCTTGTTCTGTTGTGGAAATTTCATCATTGTAGTTTGTTTGGATGTGGGTTTTTTTATTTCACCTCTACCTGCTCATTAAATTCGGACTGTATTGCTTTCTTTTGAAGACTATTTTTGAATAAGTTTTATCTCCAACTGAGAATTATTTGAACAGTGGGGCCAAGTCGGAGGCATTAAAGGACATTTATTTACGTTTTGGATTTTGTTACGTTTGTGTTACGTTTGTGTCAACACCGCTCCGATGTGATTTTAGCAGCAGCTTAAAGATTATTTGGCAATGTGGAAAAAAACAAACACAGCCTGATAAGATAAGAAGGGAAAAATTAGAACAGATTACCCCATACCTTAGACCCAGAAACATATCTCCCAATGGAAAAAGATAAGTTTTTTTTTTTAAAAAGCCATTGGCTTTTTTGATAAACTGGAAAGTTCCCAAATGTTTCTCCTGGATTTGGCTGCAGGAGAAATCCCTGACTAATTATAGCTGGTTTAGAGGTAGTCCTCAGTTTATGATTGTAATTGAGCTCAGAATTACGTTCCTAAGTCATACCAGTCATTAAGTGAGTCGCCATTGGACAAATTTTATAACCCTTTTTTGCAGCGGCTGCTAAGTGAATCCCCCACGGTCATTAAGCAAACAAGGAGGTCATTACGTGAATCCATTGTTTGCAATGGGATGGAAATCAGAAGTAAATACCAGTTTCAAGAGAGAGAAAAAATTGTAAATTGCAGCCGATCTAAATTTGAATGAAACTTAAATGAATCAAATGAAATGCAATGGAATTCAAATGAAATTTAAGTGACATTTAAATGAAATGCAATTGAATTCAAATGTACCTAAATGAAATGCAATTGAATTCAAATGAAATTTAAGTCACATTTCAATGCAATGCAATGGAATTCAAATGAAATTTAAAGTGCAATTTAAATGAAATGTAACTGAATTCAAATAAAATTTAAGTGAAATTTAAATGAATTGCAATTGAATTCAAATGAAATTTAAGACATTTAAACGAATTGCAACTGAATTTAAATGAACTTTAATGAATTGGAATTGAATTCAAATGAAGTTTAAATGAATTGCAATTGAATTCAAATGAAATTTAAATGAAATGCAACTGAATCCAAATGAAATTTAAATGAAATGCAATTGAATTTAAGTGAAATTTAAATGACAGCCTCTCTCCCCATATTCTCCCCCCCCCCCCCCTCCAATTCTGGCGGCTTCTGTGCTTTCGTCCACCGTCCATAACACACGGACTTACCGCAACAAACTGGTTATTTTCTAATTTTATGATATCACCAACCCGGACATTCATCCATTCCTCCTTCTGGAGGCTGGCGGCGGCGAAAAGGAGAAGCAAAGGAATAAAATAAAATTTTAAAAAAGGAATAAAACATCGAGGAGGCTAAAAATCTGCCTTGATTTTTTTTCGTTTCGTGGGTTTCCAATTCCCTGCACGGGAGCCGGCAGAGCCTCCATGCTTCAGTGCAGTCTACCTTCAAACGCCAAGGACCTCACGCCGGAACGGCTTTATATTCCCCACCCCCCATAATAGTTTATCAAAAAGAGGCAGCCCTCAATGTACAACCCCGATCGAGCCCTCCACAATCGTTTCCGTTGCTAAGTGAGTTTTGCCCCATTTTACGACCTTTGTTAATTACTGCAGCTATTATAAATCCATAACACGGTCGTTTAAGTGAATCGGGGTTTTTTTCCCCCCAGCACCGTTGTAACTTCAAACCGTCACTAAATGGAACGGTCGTAAGGCGAGAATCCCCCCTCCTTCTCCTCCCTCCCTTCACAGACCGTACTCACATCCCGTTGATTAAAACTTGGGAATGGCGGCTGTTCACCTGGTTATCGCTCTTGTGGCGAAACTGTGGGTGGAAAGAACAGGGTGGGGGTGGTCAAAGCCAGTATTTGAATCCAAGATACCCCCCCCCTCGCCCGAGATTACGAGCTAGATTCACACACACACACACACATCCTGCCCCCAAAATTGTGCCCCCTGCAGGTTTAAAACTGAACAAGGTTTGGTGCTTGGTAAGGGACCAATTTTTTCCCCCCTAATCTGGATGAATAACCCCGTCGTTAAATAGAACAAGGGGGGTTCTGCTGGGTTTGCGAGGCTCTGGGGGGTTCCAATGACCCTCCCCGGTTGTAAAACAAATCGCACTGTCCTTAAGCAAATAGCGTGGCCATTCAGCGAATCCACGCTTCCGAAGGGGCGTCAAGGGAAATCAGCCAAAAAAAAGAAAAGGGTCACAAAAATTGTGAACTTGACAACGCTGCCG